AAATCATCTCCAAAGAAAAGTAACTTCATCTTAGTTAACTTCAGATCATTTCAAAAGATATTTTAGTTGTAGGTAAAATGACCAGTGTGCAGCAGATAACCAGCCATACAAAGAAATAAGACCTTGAATACACATTACACAGCTTCATTGTCCTGGGATGGAATTGCTATCCAACAGTTGAAAATGTGTCCCTATGCCATCCTTTTGCTCAGAGCTGTCTGATCCACAGCAGGATCCACACAGATCATGGGAGATTAGTTTCATGAACATTTACTCAGCGCTTGGAGGTGCTAGGCACCAGGCTGATGAAAGACAAAGGCCAGACAGGCCTGTTGCTGGCAGCCACGGAGCTCGTCCTCACCAGCTGCTGCTCTGAGACAGGTGGAGGCTTTGTCAGAGGTTTGGGAAAAGCTCAGTCTTGAGCACTGGCGTCACTTCAGGATTTAGGAAGATGTCTGAGCCAAATACACAAATGTGACAGTTTAGAGTGTGTGGCATATGTGTGAGAGCCTGCAGTGTCTTGGACTCAAGCATTATCCTGGTCCAGGGTTTTGTCCCTTGTGGATTGGTCTCCTAAATGGTAACTCTTTGTACTCAGGGATGGCAACAAAAATAGAAAAGATGAAAGCAAAGCTGCAGGGCTGTTGTTTATCAGCAAAGCTGCCTTACGTTTCCTTGCAGATTATGCTTTTGGCCTTATTTTCACGCAAACCCAAGCCACTGTTGGCAGATCTGAAGTCCGACGTGGGTCTTGGAGTTGTTTGATGCTCTAGGATTTCTGAGAGATGGACATGTTATTCCTTTGTACCATCCTGTCTAGCTTCTTGCAGGTAATGATGACTGTTCTGACTTTTTGTCTCCTTAACTCCTAAGGAGCTGCTCTCCAGTGACACAGGATAGATGAAGAGGAGAGAAGTAGCCAGGTTGTGCACTGACAGATGGCTCAGCCGCCCAGTGCTCTGGCCATAAGCAGATGTGGAAAAGGAGATGTGGGCACAGCAGAGGCTGGGTGTGTGGTGGCAGCAGGGGGAGGTGGGAGTGCAGTGTGCTTGAGCACAGAGCACCTGAGCAGGGCAGGACAGCATGGAAAGTCGACCTAACCCAGCAAGTGTGGTTTGTGGACCCAAACCACAGGAAAGGGAATTTGTACTTGCTACACCAGGCGCCATGCTGAGCCCTCTATAGCACAGTACTACTTTGTCCTCACAGAAGCTGAGAATTAGCACTAGAGGAACTGAGGCCAAGAAATTAAACCTCGTTCCTGATCCCACATAATAGAATCAGGAATTTAATAAAACTAAAGGCCTGCTGATTCCAAAGTTTAAGACGTCTCCATCACTGTGTCTCCTTGGATTCCTGTTCACATGCCACTCAGCAATGCTGGTGGTGCTGCCCAGGACACAGATGATGAGCCTTGGCACCTGCTGCCTCCTGTTACTCAGGGATGGTCTTGTCTTCTAGCTTGTACTCACCCATCCCCTGGTGTCCTTTGGCAATGCATTTGACCAGCACATTCATTCATTCATTCTTTTTTTTTTTTTTTTTTTTTGTCGTTTTCCTTTTTATCGGTACCAGGGATCGAACTCACGACTGCCTGCTTACAAGGCAGGTGCTTATGCCACTGAGCTAAATCCCCAGCCCCTATTCATTCATTCTTTGTGCCACACAAGAACATTTCGATTTATCACAGGTGGTTAAAATTTTAAATGTGTTGGCTAATGGCATGAAGTGGCCATTAAAGAAGACTAGTCCTTCAGAAAGAAATTTCAGGCAAAAAGAAGGTGGAGTCAGGAGAGAGAGAGAGAAGGAGAGAAACAGACACAGAGAGTTGTGAATTTTGTTGGCAGCTATAAATGCCCAGGAACTGAACCACATGGTAGAAGGCCAAATCCTAGCTATATTCTTCTTTATTTTCTTTCTTTCTTTCTTTCTTTCTTTCTTTCTTTCTTTCTTTCTTTCTCTCTCTCTCTCTCTCTCTCTCTCTCTCTCTCTCTCTCTCTCTCTCTCTCTCTCTCTCTCTCTCTCGTACTGGCAATCAAATTCAGGACCTTTCCTTTTATTCTCGTCTACTCTACATGTACCCAGATGAATCCAATTTCCTCACAGCATTGAAAATCATGAGCAAAGTCAGAATGAGGAGGATTTGTCTGGGTTGTCCTGGGAGGAGCAGGAACTATCAACCACATCGTTAAATCTACTTGCAAATCCCCAGCATCTAGGCTCCTCTGCAGGAGCTGGGACCGGTGCAGGTACTCCTTGCTTTGCACCCCATCTCCTCCAGAAGCTGCTTGCCAGGGTTCTTTCCTCCAGGGAACACTGCCATAGATGTTTGAGACAGGACAACTTAGAGAGTTTAGTTCATATGTGTTCTCCTGTGCTTATCTCCTCCACCCATAATTATTAGCAAGAAGATGGTCCTCACTATTTCCATGCCTTGGAGCGTTCTCTTTATCCAACAGAAAGCACAAACTACTGGAGATAAAAGCCAGTCTTGTCAAAGTTTAAGGTGATTTATAAAAGAACATTAAGGACTTTACTAGTTTCCAAGGCTGTTGAAACAAATTAATATGAACTTGGTGGCTTAAAGAATAGAAATGATTTCTTGGAATGTCCAAAGCATAGAAGTCCAAAACTAAGGGGTCAGCGGTCCCTGGTGTCAGGGGGTGATCTGTCCTTGCCACTCTCTAGCTTCTGCTCCCTGTCACAATCCTTGATTCTCCATGAATCTGTCTTCCCGTGACCTTCTACTCCATGGCTGTGTGACTTCGCAGATGGAACCCGTTACTGGGCTTAGGACCTACAATGCATCTCAAGAATTGTACCTTAGTTACACATACAAAACAACCCTCAGAAAACAAATACTCAAAAAAGTTTACACACACTCACCACCTCTTATTTCAAATAAAGTCACAATCTAAGTTTCCAAAGATAGATGTATCTTTTGGAGGATTGCCAGTCAACCATTATAGAGTCTAATGGGTACTGAATGAGAAAAGGGAGAGCTTTTTCCTCTTGATTGAAACATGTTGGGACTATTGGAGAGCAGAGAGTGAAACCTCAGTACCATTTGACATGTGCGTCCCGGGAAGAGGTGGAACTCAGAGGGAGTGGGTACACAGCACCCTCGGCAGGCTGAGCCCATGACCCGTAGCCATCAGATCTGAAGGGACCACAGTGGGTTTGGCCACACTGGTGACAGGCAGTCTTGATGGTGTGGCAGTTAGCAACACCTCCACCACCTATTAAGATAAGCCTCCTCTTCTCTCCTTGACAAAAATGGAACTGGATCTTTTAACAGACCCTTGATTGGCAGCTAAGAGGTGGATTTTAAGTTGAAAGAATGCAAAGCCAATTTTTCCACGTTGAGAAGTATTGATAAACTGTTAAGTTAAACACCCAAACACCAGCTCGGTGGACGGACAGCCTTTGATTTGTTTGCCTCTGCTCTAGCCACGGGCGCCCCTCTGGCCATCTCTGAGTGCTGAGGTCTGCGGCTCTGGGCAGCTCTGTGGCTGGGCACAGGCAGATGCTGCCCGGCTCTTCCCTGCTCAGAGTCAGGTGTCAGATCTATGGACAGAGATGGTGACTCAGCCCAGTGCTCTCGGCTGTCAACAGCAGCTCCTGAGCTGAACCCTGGACCTGAGCTCAGGAGGGACCCTGGAGTACTTCTCCTTCCAGTTGGAATCCACCCACCGCTTTTCATCTGGAATAATTTCTGTAGCAAAGAAAATGGGTCACAAAGAGAAAGGCAGTGGCTAAAAGTCCAGGGAGCCAAGCTCAAACATCCTCTAATGGTCAGGAATAGCAAAAGCAGCAGAGCTAAGTGATCCTTTCCACTGTGAAGATGCAGAGCAGTTGATGCTTACTTGGGCTGGTTTGTGGTTAAAATAGAACATTTCCCTTGCTAAGAAGCTAGCAGAGTTCTGTTCTTTTTATAAGAGGATGCAGATGATGTAGTTTTATTAACACTTTACTGTAGTTTTTTCAGCCATAGCTCCTTTATCTTCTCACACCTTTCAGCTACAGATCTATTTTTCATACCCACTCCCCTTTTCTCTATGTTTGGGGCCTTCTAGGGAGCACATCACAAAGCTGATGCCACTTATTGAGGGCTGACTGTGTACCAGGATTGTGTTCAATATCATCCGTACATTGTCTTCCTGAATCCCAGTTACTTTATGTGAACTGGTTAAGTTCCCAAGGAAACAAATCCAAAACGGCTCAGCAACTTGCTCAAGACTGCATGGTTTCTAATTAGTGGGATCTGAAGTCTGTTTTACCCTAGCGATCTTGCTTCCTCCTGGTACTGTGATGCACTGTCTGTCGGTGAAGGTAAATTAGCCCTGACTACCAGATGTGGCTCCCGGGGAGAGGCAGCACCAAACCACGAGCTCCTCCTCTCGGCAGAAGTACCTGCAGGCCTACCTGAGGCTCAGAGAAGTCCTTAGAGAGACCCCTCTCGCACTCCCAGACCACAGCTCCTGTTTTCAGTTTGTGATCTAAGCAGGCCTCCCAAAGAAAGAGTTAATGCAAGCCTTGTCCCCTCGCTGTCTATCCACTGCAACTCCTGACTCGGGCAGGGGGAGGTCTAGATTGCAAGATAAGGAAGGAGCTGGGCCAATTTTCTGGTTGCTTCTTGGCACCAAGCTCTCATGTTTACACAGCAGCCACAGTCCCTACCTACATCCTTCCTGGAGACTCTAGTGTGGAATACAAACAAATTCACCTCTTTCTACTTCCCCAGCCTCTGGTCTGTGGCTGATCTGATTCGCTATGCTCAGAGGGTCCATTGCTGGGTGGAGGCTCCCATATGGCCTCCATTACCAGGAGATGGTCTTCAAGGGGCTCCTGGAAATGCGTTGCACATGGGCTCCTGGACACTCGGCTTGCCTGCTCCTCTTCAGCTCTGTTTGCTTTGTCTAATTGTGTTTTCTCTGCTGATTTCAGTAGAGTTAATCTTCCCCATTTTGTCCAAGTTCTGCGTGGTGCATCTGGTACCGATTTGGCTGGAGGGGGCATGAGCAGGGTGGTTAATTGAATGCTTGGCAAAGGGCAGCAAGAAGTAAACTGTGGAGAAAGCGAGACCCAGGAGAGCTTAGAGAATGTGGTTGTTTGAGGCCTTTGCCCAATGCAAGAAGGGCACCACCTCCATTTCTGAATAGAAATAAAACCTAAAAAAAAAAAAAAAAAAGGAAGAAAGGAAAGAAAAAGGGCATGACACCATTCTGAAATTCAGAGGCAACTCCTGCTTTAGGACAGGCCCCCCAGCGCCCCATTTTCTCCCTCTGGGGTCCATGGTTACCCATAGATGACCAGGGTACCATTTGGCCCTGTAGGGAAAGGAGATGCAAGGGCAGGGACACGTCTGTCCCGGACCCACCCACCCTGAGCTAGGCCTTGCATTTCCCAGCAGGCATGCTGGCTGGCAGCTGCCGCCTGGTTCCTGCAGACCCAGTGGAAGGGAAAGAGAAGCAGCACCACTTGCAATCCGGTTTTGCCTGGGTCCAAGGCCAGCCCAGGCCAGACAGGGACTCTGCCTGTCCACCTGCCTGTTTGGCTGTCTGTGCCCCAGACTTTGAGAGCCTGCGAAGCATGATGTTCGAGCTTCAGATCTCAGCTCTTGGATGACCTCTGGTAAGAACTTCGGAGCCTCAGTTTTCCTGTCTGTGAAATGTGCCGGTTCATATACTATTCCAGGACACATCAGCTCTGCTCCTCCAATGCACTCACAGGCGCCCCTGCGTTCTCCAAGCGGAGGAAGGTGGGGTAGCCCTGCACGGTGGAGGAAGTGCTGAAGCCCAGGAAACCGGCTTCTGGGGCGTGGATGGCAGGGGCCACGCCATCCGGCTTTAGCGAGCTTGGGTGATACCTGCGCGCTGGGCCAGAGCAGGAGCACAGCAGCCACCCTCGCTCCTCCTCCTGACAGGGGGCTGCGGGCCGCGCAGTGTCGCTGTGGCTGCCACGGGGGTGACCACTCGGCCTTCGAGGAGGGGCGGGAGGGCCCGCGGGACAGCGACCCGCCCAAGCCTCTACCCGGGGCTGTCTCTGCGCCAGGCCGTGCACTCCGCCCTCCGCCGGCCTCGCGCTGTGGCCTTGTGCGGTATCTCCGGGTCCAGGGCTCCGCATCTGATCGCCCCGCCGGTGACTCAGTCTCGAGTGGGCCCTGTGCATCCTCGCCTCGCCTCGATGAGAGGCTGTGTCTCTAATCTGGTGCCGGTGCAGGTGTCACTGCCCCGCAAACTCAGCGACGCCGCCCCGCCCCGCCCCGCCCCGCAGGAGAGAAGCGGCCCCCAGGAGCAGGTGCATTGACCGCTCGGAGCAGAAAGAACCACACGTTCCCGTTCGCCTCCCTTCCCCACCGCCTTACCGCGCGGGTCCTGAAGTCTCACACGCAAGCCCAATCGGGGCGAGCCCTGGGCTTCGTGAACTCAGCAGACCGCTTGCCCTGGGTGTAGGCGTTGGCTGAGGACCCAGAGGAAGCGCCGTGGTTCCTCCCGGTGTGGGCTGTGGCTCAGCGAGTTAGGTCGCTACTCTGAAGTTTGATGTTCTCTTATGAAGACAGGGATAATGGTGCTACTTTCCCCGTGAGGAGTCACTCAACCACCTACACATCCTGGAAAGAGGAACCCCATTTTTACGAGGTGAATGAAGGTTTCGTTGGCCTCTTCTGGACTCCAATATAAGCTTTTGCACAGCCCCTCTTACCGCTACCCAAGGACAATGCCCCAAACTCCTCATGCCGCACTGCCTGGATTGCTGGTAGGTACCAGTGAGGGCAGGGACGCCTGCGTCTGGACACAGGTATCTGCAGAAGTGACCTGCAGTACCTCCTTGCTGCTTAGCTAAGTTGAGGCACCAGTCAGGCAACCATAATTAGAGGATCTGACCTCTTGAAGACAAAGTCTTTGTCACCGCACATAGCAGGCATTTTGGACCAGGTACACGCTGACTGAGGATGAGGTAAGGCAGACGAATAGGAGCAGATGAAGACATCAGTGACGGCCTTGAGATCAGCTGGGACCTGGATATCAGAGCTTATGTTTCCTGTAATCTTGCATTAAGTGTCGGTGGAGAATACAGCTTTGGCAAAGACCCGGGCTGGGTTGACAAGTTTATGATTGAGCAGTTCAAAGGACATCTTCTCATTTCAGACCTTGTCAGCTTTGCTGTCTTCTGACCTCTGAAGTGATCAGCTTTATATACAGACTTCAAAACAGTTTTCTCACCAGCAATGTGATGACGTCAGCCTCAGGCCTTCTCCAAAGCTACCGTGCAGTATGCCCACAAAACCCAGTGGGCACTCACCCTGAACACCTGGAGGCATGGGGGACCTCATGCAAAGGGGCACCCTGGACCAGTGGAGAGAGGATACTGGATAGATAAGTTTCCATTTCATTTCCTAGCAGAAAACTTTATCTGCATCCCATCAGAATTCTTAGAATTTCCCATGGATCATTAGTCATCCACAGAGGAAGCCTCACACATCTTTGCCGTTTTCTGTTCATGTTTTGGGTCCTTCCTCATCCCTGGGATCACTTTCCACAAGAAACACTACCTCTGGGTAAGCCTGTGTCTCAAGCATGTGTTTGAGGAAACTCAGGCTAAGATGATCATGTGTAAACTGTAAGGAGGGACGGGAAAGTATGGAAAAATATTCTCACAAAGTGAAAAAGAGGGCACAGTGTAAAAAGTACCTAAAACTGCCGGGTGTGCTGTGTGCCTGTATCTAGTCATGTGTTTAAGGTAAATCCAGGATCACCTTTGTGTTTCCTGTCACTGCAGGCAGGTGCGATCACAAATTATGTGGCTATGGATTTCACCTGGAATGAGCTTTTCCCACATGAATTCAAGTAAAAAAGACAGGCAGGAAAAGCAAACAAATTTACAAAGCAGTGCTTATATAATAAGCTGTAAAATTAAGCAGAACAAAGAAGAGACAAACCATAACAGAAAGGACATGTACACATTTTATGTTTGTGTACAGGATGTATCCTTGTATCATTATAAAGGTAGGAGTCAAGTGATAGAGTCCGCAGACTGACGCTGAGCAGGGAGTGCTGAAATTCAGATCTGATGAGTGGAAAATGAGTTGGTGGGGACAGGATGAGGGACACAAGCAGGAGCATGTGGGTGAGGTGGAGTAGATTATAAAGAGCGCTGGAGGTGAGGACATCATGAAACCCAGCAGCTGGGGGCTGAATGAGTCGCTGTTCTGCAAGGCTGAAGTCGCCAAGAGTGGTGATGGCAGTGGTTGGAGCACAGGTGCTGAGGTTACTGATGAACAAGGAGAGTAGATGCTTAGATGACGGTGGTAAGTACAGGTGGCGGGTGATATAGTTGGATGGCATCATTCCCAAGGGCCTGGGAGCTTGAAGGGAGGGAGGAAGATATACGGAGCTGCACCTCCTCCCCTTTGGGCCCTCACCAGGAAGGAGAGAGGCCTGCATGGGAGGGCTTGCAGATGGCATACTTGCAGGAGAGAGAAGAAATTTCCATTGAGGCAGACCTGAAGAGATCAAGAAAGAGAGAGAAGGAAAGAAAGACAGGAAGAAAGAAAACAAGAAAAGAAAAGAAAAGAGAAAACCACAAGGGAACATGCTAATGACGGATCCTGTCTCAGGATACGTAGTTTATAAAGGTTGAGAACATGGACATGGGTGAAAACATGAGATAATACTTTTTAGTGCAGCTGAAACACGGGAGACAGTTTCATGTAAAGTGCTGCGAGGAATGCTCATGTGACAGTGGTGGTGGAGGTGACCGCTACCAGAGCAAGAGCTAAGGTGGAAGCGTAAGTTACGTCGGGAAGAAGCACCGATCTGGGGGTCACAGTGCTCTGGGGTCCTCAGTCTGGCTCTGTTACTCACTGGCTTTATAGCCTTGGGCAAATCAATCACATTGTTTTCTGTGGGCCACAGTTTGTCAGTTTGTCTGCCTATAAAATGAAAGGGTTGGATAAATTCTGTGGCTGCCCACTCTATGGTCGGAGGGATTGTGCCTAAAGTATATATGTTTCCTGAAACAATTCTTCAAAACGTTGCATTTGAGCATCTCCAAAAGTCAGAGCTCATTTTCTGAGGGAAAGGACCCAAAGTGTGCAGTGTGAAAAAGTTCCTCAGGTAACTTTCCCTTTTCCTTTCTCTGGAGAATTGCTTTGCCAAGAAGCTAGTCTTTCCTCTCCCAAACGCCATTGCTCCAAAACTGATAGAAAGATTAGTTTTGTCAGTCAGACCTGGTTCGGAGCAGTTATCAGAGAAGACCAGACACCCTGAGCGCTGCCCTCCGGAGGCAGAGGCCAACAAGAGGAAGCTTTATTTTTACAGCTTCATTCTTCAGCATTTCCCCGTCAAATGGAATCTAAGCAGTTCAGATTTTGGGGTTTTTTGTCTTGTTTTGTTTTGCTTTGGTTTAATATGTAAGACCACTTGCTGTTACCCAGCCTAGACGCTGGCTAGCTTTGGGGAAGGCTTCCCCTTGGCCAGTGGCTGGGAAAAGTACAGGAAAGATGGGGGTACCTTGAGCTCAGGCATCATAGTCTCTTTGTGGACCCAGTGCCCAAAAATGCACCTCACATGCTCAACAAATATTTGTTAAACTGAAATCTAAGGCAGAGAAGAATAGATCAAAAAAAGGCAGCGATGTAGGGGAGTTCATTTGTTTTCAGCTGCCAGGAAAGGAACAGCTGCAAGAAAACTACTACTTTATGCTGAGCCACCCACCAGCATTAAAGTTGATGAGCAAAATAGAACTGCTGATGTGAGAAGACTGGAGAGCTTTACCACTCCCAGAGCCTCTCGGACCAGAGAGAGGCTCACATATTCCTAGGAAGGAGAGAAACTGAGCCCTAACACGTGCAATGAGTACCTTAACAAGTTACAAGAAGGAGATAGATAAACCTGCAGAATGATATTTGAACCAAAAATGATGTTGATAGCACAATGTAAAAAATAAAAGGACTAAAATCCTAAAAGATTTCAATACAGTGGCTTTAGGATAGACAAAGATATTGGGGGAAAAAAGGCAGGGTGATTTGGAAATGTATCAAATCATAAATAAATTTTCATGGCATATAGAGATATTAACTAATTCCAGATATTCATAGAAAATATATGTTTAAATGCATGTTAAAACTAAAAGATTACCTATAAAAAGAGAAATAAAACACATGGTGTCCAACCATTGGCAGAAAAAAATATGCAAAGAAATTAAATAAATTAAAATGAATGGTAAAAAAGGGAAAATTTTTGTCCCAGTTTTTTTTTAAAAATAGAATAAATGGAAAACAAAGATTTTGCAACTATGTCAAATTTTAGTAATCTTAATGTGTGTAATGGGGTTAAATTTATTTGATTATCTGACAAAAGTCTGATTCCTCCCCTAGAAGGTTAGCTCTATGAGATCTTATATCACATTATATATATGCTTTCTCTCATCAGTTTTTCTGTCTACCTATCAAAAGAAAAATGAATATGTCATTGTGGTTTTAATTTGAATTTCTGTGATTAAAAGGAATGTTCAACACCTTTTCAGAAATTTATTGACCAATTGCCTTGTTGTGTGAAGTGCTTGTTTAAATCTAAGCCCACTTTATAATGAGATGTTGGACTTTTCATTATTGATTTATAGAAATTCCT